ACCGATTCGAGATTTTAGTGGCCAAATTTTCATCGATTTAGTCAACTCTTTATTGTAGTATAATTAATCCATGATAATTCTATGATTTCTTTTGTGTGATGTAAATTTAATGGTCAACATAAGTTCATACAGGAAAAGAACATCTTAATATTCATAAATTGATGAAAACAATGAAAGTTAATAATGTAGTTACCCTATTTCTTATTGGATTCTTAAAAAACAACATTTATAATGAATTTTAATAAATTTTTTTAATTTTTTTAAAGCTTAATTCGAGAGATTCGGCCCGATTCCCGATCCGGATCGCCTATTCGTCGAAACAGATCGGTTTTTGGGATGCTCGATCCGGGTCACCGATCCGCTTTTTAAACCACTACGTCTAACCATTTAGGATGACGATGTTTGCGAAAATCTTGAATTCTTTTGCATTAAAGATTTTAGAAATAAATATCATGTGCAATTAAAATAAAAAATGATAGAAAAAATTAAAAAATCAGGCCAAAAAGTAGCAAGAGAGGTGGTGGGAAAGATTTGGCCGGTTCATCTTGCATTAAAGATTTTGGAAATAAATATCATGTGCAACCAAAATAGAAAAGATAGAAAAAAATAAAAAATCACGCCAAAAGATAGCAAGAGATTTGGTAGGAAAGATTGGATATGTTCATCGAAGAAAACCTTGCAAAATTGATTGTCAAACCAGTTCAATCAGTCAACCATTGGCTTTAACCAGTTCTCAAGAAATAGTAGTTTAATATTAATGTCAGACCGGACAGAGGTTCGGTCCTGGTCAAACCCGAGTTTGGTCTCATTTTGATAACTATAGTCTCGACGCTTAAAATGTTTAAAACACTCATGTGGGCCATTTTCTACTTAGATGTTCTATGCACAATAAAATTGAGAGACATGGGGAAAAAGGAACGTTGTAGAGAACGAATTGAGTTCATGTAGCATGCACCTGCAGGTCCCTCGCGCATAAAAAAGGAACTTGGGATGTTTTTTAATATGAAATTTTGGGATCATTTTCAAGAAACAAAATTAAGTTCTTGAACGTACAGATCTTGCTCTATGAAAATTGGACAGTTCATGTTCAATTTGACATCTTAATTTTTTTGAGGCTCATAGATAATCATATTTAATTTTTCCCTTTGAGGTTGGTTATTAGTTTTAGATGCTACATCCCCAAACTTTGGGGTACAAATAATATTGCTAACATGAGTTTTACCTAGAGGAGCAAACTCACAGACTGCTCCCGTGAGAGCAGCATATCACAAAACAAGTTTAGGAAAAAAGCTTGTAGAGAAAGGACAACAATCAGAGTGAGAGGTCCGAGTCAAAGCTTAAGTTCAAATCGGCTGATTTTTGCCAAAAATTTATCAATAGTCAAGTAACAGACAAAGTTTTTGACAATTTTATTTTATTTTAAAAAACTCACGAGTAAATTATTAAATAGCTAAAATTAGATATATTTTGATAAATTTCCTCAAGGTTTAAAACATCAACCCAGCCAAAATACTCGGGTCCTGGCCTAGGCGATCTACTCGTTTGAGTCCAAGTTCTTCGGTTGAGTCAAACTCTTCCTTTTAAAACAAAAAATCACATAAA